CTTGAACTGTCGGTTGTTGCAGTCACGTTATGACAATAGTATAGTTTCTCAGATATGACCGACATCATGGAATAGAAATTCCTAATCCTAACATATGTAACGTTTCTATTACTATCCCCAGAGGAGGGAATAAAGCAGAATAAATGCTTATTATTCTAATTGAGGTTTAACTTGTAGAAAACAACTTCAAGATAGATAATACTGTGCCATTAAAATGGATTTCACAATATAGATATCATTTTTTGTGATAGGGTCCGCCATATTGGATCAGCCATCTTGAATTTCTTGTTTGAAGAAATTGGATTTTAGATTCGTAATTAGCGACCGAAAGAACCTTAGGATATGTTATTTTGAGTTTTCAAAGTGTCAAGAACACTGTGCTTTGAAGAACATAAGCTTTATCGCTGATGAACCTTGACCCTCTCTATCTCAGAAACCAATTATCACCTGAAGATAAAAATTGGCGAGGATTCATACCTTATTATAAGATAATATTTGGCATATGATTTATTTAAAAAATCGAGTGCTCCCAAAACGGACTAAAAAAGGGCCTTTTTTGAATCACTCTGTTAACCCGGGATTCCAACGTGTTTCGAACAACGCGATTCCCTCCCGATTACTTTCTCCTCCGTTCATGCCTTCGACGTAACAGTTGCCGCAAATCCGCTTTATCCGGCAAATTCACGAGGAGTTACGCACAGCGATTCGTTTACGTATCTGCCGCCCATTCTTGCGGACTAGCGTGCTCATCTCTCGCGAATTTCGCCGGTGGTGCATCTGCGGCCGAATTTTTTCCGCTCGATCAGCTTCGCCGGATTTCCGCGTGTTTTCAGCGGCGTTCCCGCGTGCTCCGACGAGTCTCGCGCCGACCATATTGACATTTGCATATGACTTACAGCTACGTAAGCTGCTAGTAAGTTTAAAATGGTAATACGTGCTAGTGCGGCCCGAGCGCGCGAACGAACCGGTCGCTTAAAAGCACCCAATTAGAAACTTTCTGAGGGTTGACCCCGTCGAGCGAGTCTATTAAACCCGCTCTAGCTGGAGGAGTTCTCCGCCGCCGCCTCCGCCTCCGCCTCCGCCGCCGCCGCCGCCGCCGTCGCCGTCGTCGTCGTCAACGTCGCCGCGCTAATCGAATTATGTCTGTCATCGTTTCGTCGGCGATTCGGTCGACGATTACGACGCTGGCGTCGAAAGAAGTTACCAAGAGCGACGTTCGCGGACGGACGTCGAGGCGGTTGACGAAACGCGGAATATTATTAACATACAATTATATTCTGGAGAAGTAATAATCAACAGCCTCGAGATCCTCTCGGAAATAACGCGTTCATTCGTCGCGGATCATTAACTCATGTGCGATCATTCGTTGACGTTCTTTCGACGGATGATATCGGTGTAATCGGAGTTACGTCGACAACGAGTCTCGAGGAAGCTCTTGCCGGCATCGCGAGTCCATCTCGAGGAATAAGCGTCGCCATATGAGATCGTTTCAATCACGGGATAACCGTCTAGAGATTTTCGCGACTCGCGAGCGCACCGCGACGTGGCGCGGCGAATTCCTGCCGACTAACGGCGGCCATAACCATTACATCTATGAAATAGAGTGGAGTCCGATGATCTCAACTGGATCACGGGGATCGCGGGAATGACCTGTACCGCAGCTGGGAGCTCCAGCTGCAGTTTGCCGGCGCGGCGCGGCGTGGCGGTTTCCCAATGGCTCGGCTTTAATATCGGGTTTCTGCGCTTTAATGATCGTTTCTTGAGGCATCGGGGCCCCTCTCAATGTTGAAGTTCGCCGTTCTAGAATCGTGATAAAGGGACATTGTGATCGCGATCGAGGAGTCGCTCGCGCGGCGTATACATCGGGAACGACAATGGCCATTGTCGCGCCGAAACTCGGAAGATCTCGAGCTCGGAGCGAGCGCTTTTGCATGATACATTTGCGCGAATTTCATTTTATTTCGCGGCGCGATCCTTCGGACACCGTCGCGTTAATAGCGAGCGAGTGAATTTTGCTCTCGCGAGACGAACGCGTAGCGACTACTCCAAGTGGCAGTTGCCGCGGGGCAGGATTGTGCGTTCGCAATTGTGTCTTATGCACGAAGAGTGTGTTGTGCGACGAGTGCTTATTGCTACATCTGTGCAAATATTGTGACATGTGACATAAAAGTTTTGGCCTTTTTTCACGTCTCCTAATGTGATTATTTTAAATTAAAATATTTTCCTGCCGTTTTTGTTTTTATATTTGATATTGAATTTTCTAAAACACGCCACTCATTATATGATTCATTAGTGCACATAACCTTAAAAATAGCAATTGATATGAAATTGAATTGATTGATTGATATTGAATGAGCGACGAAAAACTTTATACTCGACACTGTATTCGATATGAATTCCAGCAGGGAAAAGATGCTGCTAAAGCATGTGGATTCATTTGCTCTGTCGAAACGAGGGAATGTTAAAGAGTACAGAGTTGCGCTACTTGAGGAATGGATCAAAATTAAGCTGGGTATTTTAGCGACTCTGGTCGACTTCATGCCGCAGCGTCTAGAAGCCGTAATAAAAACAAAAGGGAAGTACAACACGCTACCAATTATATTACAATTAATACTGAGATGTTATTCTGATATTTTGACATTTCGACTACTTATTTATGAAAGGTAATAAAATAACACAACTTAACCCATATAAGTAAATTTGCAATTTTTGTTAATTATTAAATGTATGATTTATCTTTATTATGTTAATTTTGAAATGTACGTTAAGCTAAACAAATGTATCAATTATATTCAGTAAATTCCATAATTTATAAAGTTTTAACGGTGATTGTTTATTTTTTATTCTCACTATATACAATATTACATTAGGCGTATTACACAAGTTCTAGTTTTCTCTTTAGTTCTTTAATGTAATTATCTTAAATTGAAATATTTTCCCGCCGTTTTGCGTTTCTGCAAAGTTGGTATTGAATTTTCTAAAAATTTTCTAGAATGCCATTCATATTATAATTCATTGGTGCACATAACCTTAAAAATAACAGTTGATACAACGAACGACGTAAAACTTTATATTCGGAATTGCATTTGATTTTGCCGCTGATGTAGAAAGTTTTCGAGGGTCAGCTCATGAATGTCTGTATTTAGAATTAACATACATAATCTACTTTTCATCGTCAGTAACAATTTTCAACAAAAAATCTCTTTTGCCCTCTCTAGAAAGCAATGAAACGCACATACTCAACAGCATAATGCTGTTTTGCAACAATTCATGCGACAACTCATTTTCCGAGTTTCTAAATTTTCCCATTTCATGCAGTCGTCTTGAAACTGTTGCTTGATCAACTCGGAGCTATTTTGTAAATTTTACTTGCATTTGGGACGAGTTTTTATTCAACGACATTTCCAAATTGTTGGCCTCAGACTTTCGTGGCGCTCCAGAGCGCGGCCGAATATTCGCGTCAAAATCACCGTCTTTAAAGCGACGAAACTGATATTTGCACGTATTATAGGACACAATATTTTCTCCGAAAACAAAGCAAATGGATTCATATGCTTTAGCAGCATTTTTTCCTTGCTGGAATTCATACTGAATGCAGTGTCGAATATAAAGTTTTTTCGTTGCTTATTGTATCAACTGTTATTTTTAAAGTTATATGCACTAACTTAGAAAGCCAATACCAACTTTTATTACAGAAATATAAAACAGCGGGATTTCAATTTAAAATAATTATATTAGAGGGTTGAAAAAAGGACTAAAACTTTTGTATACATTTAATAGCAGAAGGCGCATCGATCGTCTCTGATAAACGTAGACGCAAAACAACAAAGAGAACACCTTTTACCTTCTAAAGAAGCTTGAAAAGATTCATGAAGCTTGAGAGGAGGTTTAAATATGGATTGGAAGGGCGTTTAATTTCGATTGGAACAATCCCGTTTATCCTGAAATCATTGTGTAGGGATGTTCGCAGGTGTCTCGTAGCGACCGGAAGACAAGTAGCCGAGTTTCCGCGGTGCTCATTGGACGAGTCTCGGAAGAATCCGTAATGGCGAAGATTACGGCACTTAAAACAACTTCCTCTTGTCTGTTTAGCTCCACGAAGAAGGGTATTAGCGAGAGTTAAATGCATTCCTTTCGCGCGAGATGTAAGAAATGGGGAGCGCGATAATCGAACCGACGAGTTTGTTAACTCCAATCACGAGAGATGTTGAATTCCCTCTTTGCCTTCGAGCGAAGATTTAAACGACCGCGCGCCGGCTAGAGCAATTCCAGCGGAATTCCGGACTCGTAGAAAAATCGCAGAACACGGCGATTTCCAGTTACGTGCGAACAATTTCCGGCATCGGCATTTCGGCATCGCGGCGCCGCCGTGTGAAATAGTTTATCGATCGTTTGTTATTCTCGCACGCTTACGACAATCTTTGTGATCCCGAGTTCTCCGTGCGGCTTTCCGTAGCGCGGGAGAGAAATAAAAAGAAAAGCTCTCTCTTTTCGAGCCGGTCGGGAGGGGCGAGGGCAGTCGCTACGGGCCACGAATTTCGCTCGTATTTGGCGGATAATAATATTCCTTTATACGGCGCGTATTAACAGAGCATAAGTGTAGTAACACGAAGCTCCAGGCTTCCCTGCTGCTTGACGCTCGAGGATGAGGGAGTGTCTTGGCGCTACCTAGAAGCTCCCGTGTCGCGCGAGAGTACCTCTCTCCCAGCTAATTGCATTTATCCTGTCATAGCGCGGGAAATTATAGCGAAGAAAATTGCAGTCCTAAATGGATTACGCCGCTACGTCGAAGTTTGCAGCTGCAAGGCATCCGGCATACCTTCTTTCGCGCTCGTCAAAGACGCGGCGACGCAAAAGGATGCGGCAATTAAAATTTTCATCAGGAGTATTCTTAATGAATCGGTTTTTTCATCTCTTTCCTTTTTTTTTTATAAAATCGAGAACACGAGCGCGACATGACTACGACTACGATGAAGTCGCCGGTAGTGACGAGCACTCACTTTGGTAATGCCTTCGATGAAAGCTCTAGTGGCCAATTCACCCGGGCCGTCCACAGTTTTACCATCATCATCCGGGCCCCACGATGCGCTATAAATGTCAATGTGTTGAGGATTTAAACTCAACGACCTTGCCTCGACGGCGTCCGTCACGTCGCCGTCCAGCATTCGAACACCTGTTTAAAAACAAAAATAGTTGACCATGTATTATAATGTATCATAACGTTATAATTATGAAATAATGACAATTACATTTACATAACTGCCATATATAAATATGATAAAATTGTATATAATCTTTATTATGTATATTGTATTGTATACATAGGATGAATCCGATAAAAGTTCGCCACGTTCCTCTCGAGAAGCGGAGATCTTAACTAAAAATGTTTCAAATAAAAGTTGTATGGTTTCAAGAGAGTCTAATGATATTACTCTCTTGACTTGCAGGGACTTTACTAAAGTCGTATCTTAAAAGGTTACCTTTAATACTATTTTTAACATAAATTGTTTTTCCTAATTATTCTGTATGTAAAAGTATTGAAGTAAAATTATCGAAAAATGAATATTTTTCGAGATATTTTATATTATATCCTGGTATACTTTTCAGCACAAGATATTTAACAAACTATTTATTTTTCGACTATTTTAATACTTTTATACATAAAATGACGAGAGAAATTGTTCGGTAATAATAATAATCTTTGCACATTGGTGCGTCAATGAATCTGCAAAATGCAAGGAAATTTTGTTGAAAGCTTCTACTTTTATTTTTGTTTTACAATAATTGGTTTCTCTTATCATTTTACATATAAAAGTTAAGCTGAATTTGTCGAGTAGCGAATCGTTTGCGAGATATTTCATATTTTGTACTAAAAAATGTCAAAACATAATGTAAAATATCTTGATAAATATTCACTTCTCGATGGTTTTATATTTCAGTACTTTTATACGCAAAATGATCAACAATGAGGAAACAATTCATCTTAAAAAAATCATATAATTCTATCCAAAAAATTAAGGGTAACCTTCACATGGCCTCAACAACCACTGAAGATCAAGCGAGTAGCATCATCGGACGTACTCTTTGAAACCATACAATATTTATTTAAAATATTTTCAGTAAAAGCTTTTAATTCCCTAAAACAGCTAATAAGCTCTTTTTGTCGCTCTCACCCTGCATATATACCGTGCATAATTATTAAAATAGTTATATATCGTTGTGTATTTTTACATTGCTGCATAATGCTGTGTGAAAATAATTATTATTAACGTTATTGTGACATTAGAGTAAGTCCGGGATAGATGGGCAGAGGGGATAGATGGTCAATTGCTATAATTTTGTTAATATATGCTAGGTGTCAGCGCTGATCGGTTAGTTGCGAGTTGGATGTATCATGAATAAGTGTGTTTCATCCTGATGCCCAGAAACACTGCTATTGTAAGTAAGTAAATGTTTTATGTTTTTAGTAACCTCCAAAATCGGAAAAATACCTTGCAAATGCGGTTTATTTTAAGTTACAACATTAAACCTGAGCTTAGACGACTAAAAAAACATATTTTCATATTTAATCCCGAAATTCGTCACCGAGACTATGTTTTACGCGGTGTACGCATTTTTACGCGAACTCTCCAAACGGGGATAGATGGTCCATTTTCTTTAGGGTTAGATGGGCAACCTTTTTAGTGAGAAATAGCAAACAATGAACATCGGATCGACATTTTCTAGATATATATATATATATCTATTCGACTGTCATTTTTCCCTGGTACCTAACATTAAATGTCAAATTTGTCAACACCGATCGGTCAATCGGAGTTGGATGTATCGCGAATAGGTGTGTTTCTTCCTGATACACAAAAACACTATTATTATGAGTATTATAAATAAATATATTATAAATAAATGTTTTATATTTCTATTAACCTCCAAAATGTTTCACATGTCGGAATAATACTTTGCGGTTTATTTTGAGTTACAACATTAGACCTGAGCTTAAACGACTAAAAACATTGTATTTAACCTAAAAATTCATTACCATTAGAGATGAGACGTATGCTCAACTATCCTTTGACATATGACTATCTAACCTGGACACCCGACTATCTATCCCTCATAGAATATTTGTAATGTTTCGTTATTATTCGCGTCCCATGAATTTTTTTCCACAAAAACTCTTCTGTACCTTAAACATTATCCTCTACTGAATGTGTTAATATGTTGTTGACCATTTATTGCATTAATACAGATGAGTTATTTGCAATTAAATAAACTACGTCCATCTATCTCGGACTTACCCTATATAATATTCCGAGACGGTACATTTACAAAAAGAAAAAAAGTGACCGCGTGCATGCGCATCGGTTGATGCGCGAATTTTCACCACCGACCTCCGCGGAGAGTTCGACAGTGGCACGTGTGTATATCAGAAGTCTCCGAATAGTTAAACAGCATGCATCTCGTGTTTGCTCAGTTAATTATCCCACACAATTCCCGCGGCACGTGGGTCAGAGGATCCAATTCACAAGGTCGAAATTGGGTGCGGCGCTCCGATTTGGATCGGTTCCGAATGAAACGCGTGTAGCGCGGGCTATTGCCAATCCCGAATTCTAATCCGAAAATGATGCCGCATCTCGCGATAGCATTTTGCATATTACAAACACATGTCGCTCGTAACAGCAGCGCGAATTCCGACGCCGATTTCCCCGATGCTAATTGGAAACAGGATTGCGAGCGGTTTTAAGTGATTGCTCGAAATTGAACCGTCGTTCCCGACGAGTCGTTCCGTTCGAGCGTTCCTTCCCTCCACCGGTCGTTAATAAAGCAAGTACTTCCAAAGAGAGAGATAAAGAAGAGCGTGTATTCCGATATCATTCGCTTGACGAGTATACTCGTGGCGGAACGACAATGGAAAGTAACGAACGTCGCTAGCGATCGATCATACTTCATTCCTCTTAAAATCTCATTTTCATCTGAAATCCACGCGCGACAAATTCTCTCAACGACAATCCGCCTCTTCGCAGACTCGCGATATCCGCGATTCAGGAACCAGCAGATTTGAATAAAAATTTCCGCGAACCATCGCGAGTCTATCTTTCGGATTAGGCGTGCAAGAAGAAGGAGAAGGAATTGCGATCACATGATCGCGCGCGCAGGAAACTCCTTGGGCCAATTGTAAATAAACCGGGCAGGGATCGAGTTTAAGTGGTGGGTAAAAGGCGACGTTTTTGAAAATTCGGAAAAGTTTCGATGCATAACTTTACAGGGTCAGTGTGAAACGATATTAGAAGATTGCGTTAATTCGTGCCGCTGAGAACAGATGGTTCTGGATGTTACTTTAGTTCATGCCGTAGCCGTTAGGTTTTAACCTTTAGAGGACCGGAGTGGCTCCTATAAGAGTCACATATAAATCGGCATTCAGTGTTTTCTTAAAGGTTATATTATAGTTATTTATGCATTTATATTGATGTTTATGTGCTCTAAAAATATATTTGCATATATGTTCGTGTGATTTTTACCTTACTTGTTAATAAATAAACATTTATTAACAAGCAAGGTAAACTGTGTACTTGTTAATAAATAAACATTTATTAACAAGTACACATTTTAACTGCATAGTAATTCGCATCTCACTACGTTTTTATTTATAATAGACCCACTTTCTCGCAGAATTATATAAAATCAGCACACAACACTATTAGAGTTTTGATTGGGCATCGTAAGTAATGTGATAACAATCACTCTAAAAGTAACAAATAAGTATAAAAAATACAGAAAAATAGTTTTTGAAATAAAATGATTTTCATTATTTTTAAAACCAAAATCTAAAAAATTATGAAAAAATGAAATTAAAAAAATGTTTAAATAACAAAAATATAAAAAAAATAAAGAAGCTACATAACTTTCTACGTCCACGTCGTTAGCTCTGGGTTATGCTAAAGGAAAGTTTTATTACCGTATGAGATTACTTATATTAATATAGACTTATTTTAGGTAAATAATTGCCTTTTTTTGTAAAATTTTGATAATCTGATATTAAAATGATGATCAGATATAAAAAACTCCTAAAAATACCAAGATCCAAATTTAAAAAATTTTAAAAATTTTAAAAATTTTTTATTTTGGCCATTCCGTTCCGGACCGGGGTGGCTCCTATAAGAGTCACTAAGAAACTCGAAAACTCTACGCGACATGATGGTTACATATACAGTCTGTAAAGTAAGAGCATGTACGGCATAAATGGCAGTTGGCTTCAAATATTGCTCTAGTTTTTTTTAGCCGTATTGTGAGACATATCTCAAGCACAAGCTTCGAGGAAAAAGAGTGTGCACTTTGAAACAGCTGACACGACAAATTCGTCTCATTTGGAGGTCTTTACCGAACGAATACGCAGTCAACTTAGTGGAAAGTATGCCTCGGAGATTCCAAGCAATTATCAATGCCGGTGGTGACTGGACTCATTATTAATGGTATAGTGTTTTTTTTCTCATGGAGTACAACAAATCCATGTACTTAAAAATCATTAAAAATAAATTTTTCTACACATTAACCCGTACACGCTCTTACTTTACAGACTGTAGTGGAAAGTAGCCTCGGAGATGCCAGGCAATTATCAATGCCGGTGGTGACTGGACTCATTATTAATGGTATAGCGTTTTTCTTCTCATGGAGTACAACAGATCCATGTATTTAAAAATCATTGAAAATAAATTTTTTTACCCGCACACGCTCTTACTTTACAGACTGTATATATAAATTTTCCGCAAAAAAATTGCAAATTTTAAAAGAAAAATGCCGGTCCTCTAAAGGTTAAAGGTTAGACATCTTGTCATTTGTATTGTAACAATAAGTAACATTCAGTCGACAAAGGTCGTTTCTGTGTATAAAAAAAAGGTGCAAAAAAGAGTGAAACGAATATGGAATGCGATAAAGTGTTTTTCCGACATGTGCTTCTTCATTACTTTGACTTGAAAAAAGTGCAGCTGAAGCTTATGAATTGCTTCTGGACACATAGCGAGACTGCTCCTTCGAAATGAACGTGTAGAAAATGCATGCAACGTTTCAAAAGAAAGAGATATTGAGGTTCAAGACAAGAAACGTTCAGGGCGGCCGAAAAAATTTGATGACGAGGAACTGCAGGAGTTATTGAATGAAAATTTGGCACAGACGCTCAAAGAATTATCAGTAGCCCTTGGAGTCGACAAATCAACCGTTTCGAGGCGGCTATATACCTTAGGGAAAAGGAAGGAAAATGGGTGCCTCATAAATTGTCAGAAAGTTCTAAGTTGAATCGCTTGAACATTTGCATTTTCTTGCTTGCTAAACATAACAGAGCTAACAAGAAGAGCTTTTTGTGGCATATCGTGACTGGGACGAAAAGTGGATATACTATGAAAATCTAAAACGGAGTAAGTCGTGGGTGGACCCTGATCAATCTTCAACATCGATACCAAAGCAGAATATCCATGGTAAGAAAATAATGCTAAGCTTTTCGTAGGATATGGAAGACCTAATGTATCATGAACTTCTGAATCCCAGTGACGTGGTTAACGCCACACCTTATCAACGTCAACTGGAGCGATTGAACGACGAATTGATGCAAAAAAGGCCGTCAGTAGCCAGTAATAGGTGATCCTCTAACATGATAACGTTAGACCGCATGTGGCAAGAACGGTTAAAGAAACGCTGATGGGTCTGAAATGGGATCCAGCATATTTCCCCGATTTTGCTCCTTCTGATTTTCATCTGATCCGCTCTGTGCAGCGCACCTTGGAAGACACGCATTTCGCCAACCTCGAGAAACTCCGAAAATAAGTCGATGATTGAATCGCCTCAAAAGACAGGTCCTTCTTTCGACGAGGGATCCAGCTTTTACGAGAAAGATGGCAAAAAGTAGTCGAAAGCAATGGCAAGTATTTTGATTGATGTCCGATTGTAACATGTTACGAAAATAATAAATATTCCAAGTAAAAAGAAAACGGCACGAATTAAATGCAACCCCCTAATATTGTCCTTTCACGCTTGGACTATTCTCGCTTAAAATCCTGCGATTACTGTAATCGCGTCTTTCTCGAATCGCTTCGGAGAGGTCTAGGCCGCGTCGCGAGTCGCGGAGTATTAAGTAATGCTTCTCGGAGCCACTCACCACCTACGCCAGCTCCAAAAGCAACGCCTACGGCGCAAATAGAATTGTTGGCAGTGGCAGCGACCTCTCCGGCGCACCTGGTGCCGTGTCTATTGCTGTCGACCAGGTCGTATCTCGGCATCGGGTCCTCGTCGTGGCTGTTGACGTCGTAACTTGCCTGCGGGTCCTGAAACGAAAATCGGCAACGGCATCGATATAAGAGGAGAGAGGAGAGCAGCTCGCGCCTCTCGTTCGGGCTCTCGCGAGGCTGTGCTCTCCTCTCACGATGGAGACAAACAGGCGCGAGCAGGGCGTTTCGCTTCGACGACTAATGAAAACGAAGCGCGCCTCGCTGTAGCGGCGATAAAAGTACGTTGGGCATGTATCATAAAGTCGCCCGGGGTGGACGTTCCGGCGAAGTTCCTCGCGAGAAATTGCGAAAGCGAAACTCTTGCAGCGTAGAATTTACAGGCGAACGCTCGCGTCGTAATTTCTCTCGCGCGTCCAAATGAAACGACGACGCCAGGCCAGGCAAGCGCAAGAAGAGAAATATTTTGACCCGTTTCTCTGTTGTTAGCAGATTTGACAAATATGCGCATATTACCGCGGTTTTTTCCCTCCGGGCGATGGCGAATGTAACAAAACGGATCAGAAGTACGTGTGATTTTTGCGTTTCGATTTGTCTTCAGCAAGAAGTCGCGATTATCCGCTTTTGTGATAATGGCCAGATGAGAGAGAAAGAGAAAGAAAGAGAGAGAAAGAAAGAGAGAGAGAAAGAAATAGAGAGATATATATATATATGAACGGATATGTTTGCTCTTGACGTAAATGAATCGAAAGAGAATAATAAGTAACGTAGATCAGAGTGTGTTTATTTTCATCTAGATAAAATTGTACAGATAAAATCCTGACACCGACCCGTCTTTATCTTTTTTATCTGTCTTTCTATCTTATCTGTCTGTCTATCTATCTTTAGATACCTGTCTTTAGATATTAGGTAACCAAAAAAGTTCGTGCGCTTTTGTGTATTAAAAATTAAATAAAGGCAGAAATTTTCAGGAAAAAATGTTAAATTGATTTCTGGATAAATAATGAATTGATAATTCTTCGTCATCAGTAACGGAGGGTTTTCCTGGACGCGGTGCATCATCAAATGATTCATCGCCAGAACAAAATTTTTTAAACCACTTACTGTAAAGTTTTTTTAATCTGTTTCTTTAGCACATCTTCTTCGAATGCTACGCATATCTCACGACGCGCTTCTGCAGCTTTTAACCCGAGTTTAGATTCATAAAACAAACATGCTTGAATTACACTCGATTCGACAGGCATTTGAAAAGTGTGAATAATCATTAACCAAGAGACCATATCACGACAAAGTTCACCAATTAACTCGCACAAATCTCTGCTATGCGATATGTATAAACGCGCGCGCCCGACAAGTCTCAACAAGATTCGACAGCTCATTGCATCGAACTCAAACAAAAACCGCACTAACCTTTTTGCTCATCTAGTAATGTGAATATACAGGATGTCCGAGATCTTTTGGAAACGAACAATCATGAAGATTAATCAGATCAAACTGAGAAGAAAAGTTCAGTACCATTTTGCAAAAATCGCAATAGTTATTAAGTTATTAATGCTTGAAAATGACTGCATCTAGAAGCTCTTTTAATTGAAAATTTTGCTTATTTATTTGCAAAACGGTAAAGGATTTTTTTCTAGCGATAGATGAGTGTATTGAACTTTGAACCCTGAGCCTTTTGAACCTGTTGTTAAGCACAATAGCCGTCATATAATTGTAGATTAAATCATTCTAAGCAAAAAAGTCCTTTACCATTTTGCAAATAAGTAATTAAGCAAACAAGTAATCTGCAAATTCAACACAATTCAAATTTTCAAGTTTTAATTAAAATGTCCCACTTCTAGATGTGGTTATTTTCAATCATTAATAACTTAATAACTATTGCGATTTTTGCAAAATGATACTTGACTTTTCTTTTCAGTTGGATTTGACCAATCTTCGCAATTTTTTGTTTCCAAAAGGTCCCGGACACCCGGTACATTATCTTCATTTGCAGCTTAACACGTTCACTGCGCGCATCTCGAATCCAAGTCGAATTTTTACGTCACGCGTGTCGAAACACTTGAAATCTGTGTGATTCTAAGCGTTTAAATGCGGCAGTACAAAAAGTCAACACTGATTGTCACCGTTTGTTTGCGGTGTATGTAGGTTAGAACTTGAAATAAAATTGTTCGTCACAGAATTTGGATTCGTCGTCATATCTGTCGTGGTGGCTGTACCAATTTTGTATGAAAATATTTGTTAGCACACAGCGCAGGCAGCGAAAATCCGACGGGCAGTGAACATGTTGAATCGGGGAAAAAGACTGAGATCGGCATTTATCTACAATCAGGACAAAGCGCCACGAGGAATTCATACATTCCATCTTATATCCATCTGGCTAATTAAAAAAAAATCGTCCAAGCCACAAGAGCGGTCACGACACTCGTGAACTACAATGTTCCTATCGCCGAAGGCTCGATCGATGCGATGCGCCTGTCGAATCTGCAGTCGCGCATTTTTCCACGGACGTACGTCAGTTTAACACGAACAGAGACGTGAAATAAATTAATCAACGGATACTCCGGTGCGTACACGCGCTCGCATAATGAGAACCGTGCGCGCGGAGGCTCGCGACAAGCTCGCGTAATCAGCAGCGCGACGCGCCTTGAGCGCGTCGTCGTCTCGCAGCGGTTGTGTCTGCCGCCGGCTGATTAATGCGATTCACTTTCTACTGCGCGTATGCAAGTATACTATTCAATGTAACCAGCCGTGAATCAATAGCTGCTCGCGTGCATACACTTGCGAGCCGAATAACCCCGTCCGATATCCCGCGTGCGCTCTCAACAGTCGATATTCCCAGTGCGGCCGCGATACGCCTTCATCTGCCGTATTCTATTGTGCGCGTATTCTCTCCGCACCGGAATTGTTCTCCCTCCCCTTCACCCCTCGCCTGCTATTCCCCTGTGTCACTCTCTCTCTCTCTCTCCCTCCCTCTCTCTCTCTCTCTCCTCTCTCTCCAGCTGCATTTACTTTTTCTTCATGATCAGCGTCGAATATATATACGCACGTATCGAGAGATCGATCATCGCGCGCGCTCGTGCGCGTGATATTAGGCAAACATTAAGCGTTTGAGTTTTCGCTTATCGCGTAAATTTCATTTACCCGAGAGAGAGAGAGAGAGAGAGAGAGAGAGAGAGAGAGAGAGAGAGAGATCTACTCCGCGAGATTGCCGCCGCGCGGCTCGCTATGAGAAACTAGAGCAGCGCGCGAAGAGTGGTAAATGCATGCTGCGATATTTTAATAGGTGGAAATTGAATACGAAATACAACTGCTCGCCTCTGGACGAGCTGGACATAAGTATGTGTGTGTGTGTGTGTGTGTATACGTGAGAGTTTTACTTTATATTCTTTCCGCGAGGAGAGGAGACACTTTTCCACAGCGAATGCAAACAAGTCCATGGGTTCTGTCTGCGCGAGAAAAACGCGCCGAGCTACTCACGTAATTCTTGTAGAGGTCAGGATGATCCTTCTCTAATCCGTCGTCGAGAATTGTAACTACTACGCCACTTCCGGTGATTCCCTCCGCCCAGGCACCCTGCACGTTCATGTCCAAGCCCTTTCCCCTGTTCTGAAAAGAGAAATTATCGAATTCCTCGAACATTCCGGCTCCAGGCTGTTAGGCCCGTCACTGGTCTACGATAAAAGTGTCGATAGTCTTTTTAAATTGATATCTATCGAGCTCCTTTATTCGCGTCATTGTGTTGCATGTGTGTGTGTGTGTGTGTATGTGTATGAGCGCGCGACACAACACTCTTCGAGAAAGTTGCAATATAAAAGACAGCCGCGCGCTTATGCGTTTACCGACGACGTCGGAAGCGCGCTGTTATTGCCGTGAGTCGATCGTAAACTTTTGTTCAATCTGCCGCGAAGAACGCCGTTCTCCAAATATTTTCGATCGGCGTAGTAATAACTTTTCGACAACAAACGATATGATTCGTGAAACTCGTTCTCGTTCAGACACAACGAAACGTCAACGTTTACGGTGCGATTCATTTTGAGAAAAATCTGCATTCGCCTGCATTTGTTCGCGAGTGCGCGCCACACCGCGGCACGTATAATGTCGTTTAACCCTTTATGTGGCAGTCGTAAGTATACCATTTTTTTTCATTTTACGATATACTATTTACAGTCTAATGAAAGTAAGTACAATCTCATATTTTTCTATATTAATACTTACTTTCTCATGATTTTTTCGCCCGATTATCCATTTTTAATTATAAACAAATTATATTTTATATAATATTATATATTATAATATTATTGTTATATATTTATATAATATCATAAACATTATATTTTTAAACATAATAATTAAAAATAACGTCGAAAAAAGCGATTTAAAAAAAAACTTTAATTTCTTGGAAAATATTTGAAATTAGAAGCTAAAATTTTGCTGAATATTCTTCACGTTTTAAAATGTAATCTAAATTTTTCTCAGAATTTTCCGCACGTTAGATTTTTTATAGACAAATTTCTTGTTTACTATGCGTGAAGATAATTATTAATTAATTATAATTATAAAGATAATTCATTAATTTATTGATTTATCGATATTCTGTAAATTTCTTACAAACATGTTTTATATATAATAAGTTTCATCGTATATCTGATTTACATTTATTCAGACTTATATTATATTATATTAGTTTGCTCCTATACGGCAGCCATATTAGGTCTCCCATTTTGAATTTTTGAAATCTGGCTTCAGACTTGTAATCAGCGATCCAAAAAACATAGAAATGCAAGATTTCACAGGAATCTATCGGGTAGAAAAGTGTGCCACGCAAAGGGTTAATTAATCACACAATTTATTATAGTCGGCGGTTTGGCATGTGGATTATCGATTAAAATCGCTCACCAGATACCACATTTGAGGCCACCTCTCGTCGTTCAGCATGGTTAGTATATTGGACGGACGTTTGACTATAAGATCCCTCTTAGTGCGCGATTTCGCCCGCTGTTGCTCCGCTCTACGTACTCTGGAGTCTTTTATTAGCCTCTGGTGCACTTCGAGATGCGGCTCCGTCGATCTCTTCTCCACGGATCGATGCTCCATGTGGTACCAGTCATCGTTTATCTGTAACAATGTCGTTTCGTATGAATACCATGAAAATACCGAGGGTGCCTCTCTATCTACTCCTGTTTACCTCCTGTCTACCAGATGCAAGGAATTATCGATTGCACTCGTATATCGGTAGCTTATTCATACATAAACTATAGTTTCTTCTCTCTTCACAACTTCATTTGTAAAATGACTTACGATTTACGGTTAATAAATTTATATCTTTACGCATGGATATCAACACAAATAGATATAGTTTACAAAAATATATATTTATATAAGCGTTTGAAGGTGAATGGGGAGCGATCACATAGCTGAATCGAGCATTCACACGGGGTACGTTTCGATTGCCTGTTACTTTCGTATTAATAGAACGCATTTTTACTAAGACTGGTCAAATTATTTCAGAATAAATTTTGAGCCAACAAAAATTATTATGCTTATATTTATAAATGGCTCATTTCCTTATTAAAATATTTTTGAAATATTTTATACATGTGTTTCATCTTTTACTATATCTTTTTTATTATCAATTAAAATCTATGGAATTATAATAAAAAAGGTAAAGAGAAGGTTAAATAAATGGATACAGTCTTTTCTTAAATGTTGAGTTAATAAAAGTTGTTATGCTGATATTTTTAAAATCAGAATAAATGGCTAATTTTTTTATTAAAATATTTTTTGGGATATTTTGTGCATGTGTGTTTGATCTTTTACTATATTTTTTTATTATCAATTGAAATCTATGGAATTGCAATAAAAAAGATAAAAAGAAGATTAAATAAATGGATACAATCTTTTCTTAATTTTGAGCCAAAAATAAATTGTTATGCTGCTGTTTTTAAATCAGAATAAATGGCTAATTTCTTTATTAAAATATTTTTTGGATATTTTGTATATGTATGTTTCATCTTTTACTATATTTTTTTATTATCAATTGAAATCTATGGAATTGCGATAGAAAAGTAAAAAGAATATTAAATGAATGGGTAAAAACTTGTTTTTATTAATTCTTTTTAGAAATCTAAACTGTTATCGAACAAAACTACCGAAAAACTACCGAAAACTACCGTGTAACTATCGATAATCACGTTACAAACTACCGATAATTATCGATAGGGTAGAAAATCGAGTAGTTCTCCGCCTTTATCCGCCTCTATCCGCCTGTCCTTCTGTTGTCTGTCTCTCCACCGAATCCGTTGCGGGAAACGACTGAACGGAGGGCCGCGGTTGTGCGTCGGTGTTCAATTAGGAGTTAACGATCGTGAACATCGCCGCTGGCGATCGTTTCTCCGTTGCTGTCCCATCGTGCTCCTTAATTACGCGTGGTCTCAATGAGGGGAGGGGGAAAGAACGAACGCGGGTTGACGTGCTCGCGGATAGATGGCAATTTTGAAATCGCTGGAGCGGCGTAACGAGCCGCGTGCACGCCTCGCACGCATCGCGATTACACATCAGCTAAACGTGGAATTGCAAGCTCGGGAAATGGGTAGCCGCGCGATCCTCCCCTCCCCGCTGCATCTAGTGCGCGCTTCCCAAGCTTTATTATTTCTGTTACGACGGGCGCGTTACGCGCGTTATATTTATGCGCACGCAACAGCTCGTTCAGCTCCTCTCGGCCGAACGGCCACTTCGGGCTTCTTCATCGTCGGGTTACACGTTGCAAAACTGCGAAAGCTAGTTAACCGAGCGCGCGAGGCTCGAGAGGAGGAGGACGCTGCACAACAAACGTTACGTGCAAAACGAAATCGACCAAATTGCGAGCGTGAACTCGCTAAGCCGGGGCTGAAATCTGCCGGGAGTTCGCATTAATTATCGGGATTGGATTAACGCGCGCACTCGCGTATCCATTTTTTCCCATTATCCCGCGACGATGTAGACAAGATAAATGCCCGCTAAATCCCGAGTCGCGTTTATTAGGGTTACGAGATATATCATCCTCCGACGGAAATGAAAATGTATACCGGCCATAAAACAACGGCGTTTGATGCGCAAGTTTGTTCCAACGGGTACAAAAATAAGGGTGTACGACGAGAGAGGGAACGAGAGCTCGTGAGACAAAGAGAGCTAAAGAGAGAGGGAGAGAGAGAGAGAGAGAGAGAGAGAGAGGACGAGGAAGAGGGCGGAGAGTGAGATAATGATAAACGTGAAAAGTTAGAGGCCAGCTGCTGCGAGCGGCGTACTTCTTTTGCAGCCGTCTCGGGCCACCCGAGCTGCATTTTTTCATTTCTACGCCTCCCATCCTGCACCTTTATAATGCCACCTTTGGACGTCTCGTGCATATATTTCACTTATACAACGACACTGTACAGCTCCCTATTAATATAAACAAGGCGGAATGAATTAAACGGACGCTCTGCAAATTCTGTTTGCAGGAACTCCTAATGTCGTCGCATTTTTAGCGAGATTAAATAATTGTCACGCTAGAGAAACAGAGACAGAGAGAGAGAGAGAGAGAGAGAGAGAGAGAGAGAGAGAGAGAGAGAGTCGCGCGATACGGCGAAACGTGCTTTAACGTCAGCGTCAGCGTCGCTTCTTCATCTTCGAGCTCGTCCAGTGGACAACATAAACAAACCCTTCGATAATTGTTGGTCTCGTCTTTTTCAAATGCAAATCGTTAAAGTGCCGGGAAGTATAGATCGTTAAAGGGAGCGCAAAGCGAACTTTGTTGCTTCAGCCAACGTTGGGCTTCATCTTTTGGTTTTACTTTCGCCGAGAATCGCTAACTTATAATTTACGCCGTTGGCGCGTGAGTCTCGCGCAAGTTGCGCAACTAAAACATTTACCGCGATATTATTAATATTTTTTTGTCAGTCATTTTGCGTTTATTTGCATGGCCGAAGTTTCGAAGTTTACAGCGGTAAACGCGGGAAACGCGGTCGCACAACTTCGGGGAAGTCAATGCGCTCATCTTAGGGCCAATCTCACCGTCTTCGATTAATTTAATCGGTCGATTATTCCGTTAGAATTGACTGGTCGCACTTGTCGTTCGGCAGAATAGACCAAAATTGACCTGTCACGGCTGACACTTAATCGGCGAATTAAGCTAATCGAAGATGGCGAAATTGGCCCTTCATTCGCGAACATGAATTTTAACGCGCGTCGCAGCGCGACTATTATCCTTTATACCCTGAGTTAAGTTACCTAAGGCCATCTTGCTAAACTTTTATGTAATTAAATAGTTTTTGACATATTATAAACAGTGAATTGGAAGGAACATATTTTCATGAAGCGAAGACAATTGGGATTATTACTTAGGAAAATGTACTGGATGATTGTGGTCATCAGTCACAACTGTCAACAAAAAGTAAGTTGCTATTATGTAAAAGTTCATTGTTATTTTAAAGCCGACATGGACACACGGTGTCCAGCTATGTGGCTCTGCTACAAACTCCAATGTTGAAATCTTGCAATGACTCCAATCCAAGATACTTCGGATCCTCGTGGATGTACTCGTGGATGGTATGTCACAAACAATACCTTAATCACAACTTGGATATTCTAACGATTAGAGAAGAAATTAGAAGACTCTGCCTTCGATATCAAGATCGTATTAACAATCATCCCAATGCTTTAGCTGTGAAAACCTTATGAAAGAATTTAGGACTCGCAGACTTGAAAGAAAATTACCCCAGGTATATAATTAACAGATCGATTTTAGTTACAGAGGAGTGTTCTGCTGAGAGCACATCCTTCGAGCCGGTAATTAGTTTTTAACAAAACTATTACTGAACGTCTCGTATGCAAAGACAGATTGCGATACATATTTGATTGTAAAAATAAAAAGAAATATATTATAACACCAGGAATAGGAAAATAAACTTTATAACAGTTTATCACAGTTTAGTAATTTTGTAACATTTATATTATATAATAAATTTTATAATATTTTATTTTATTACAGTTTAATGATTTTAAGTACCCGACAGGAGAAGGTAGGATGAGATACAGAGAGAAAGAATTCAAAAAGTGTAAATGTTTAAACAGAGCGATACTTTCAAGTGGCGTTACGGGTGTAAAAAGATAAGTAGAGTCCTGCCGGAAGCTCAGCATCGCCTTCTGCGAGTGCTCTTCCGCCGCTTCCGCGGACCTTCGACGCGGGCCGTCCTGCACTCGTCCATCTTAGTCGGATAACTTTTCGTCTCAGTAACCGGCCGCTCGGCCGGGCCATAATCGAACGGACAGGGTCTTCCCAATCGCGGCGAAAGTTCAACCCCGCCGTTCACAGTGGACTTGAATAGTTTCGACGGGCACGACTCGGTTTGTCCGGCGCGCGGTTGTCTCAGCTCGGCGATCGGCGGCAGACAAGGGTCGAGTTGTCTGTTTCTCTTGCGGAAAATCCTCAGGCAAACCTCGTGCCTTCGTTGTGCCCGTCCGTTACACGACGACTCGATCCTCTTTCCCGTCCTTCTTGTCGCGGTCTCCCGCGACGCGCTGCATCTCCTCAAAGACAAAAGAGCCCAGCGCTTTCGTCGCGCTTTCGACGACTCGCAATCTCTGATCTTCCGCATCCCGCCCATGCGAAGACACTTGCTCAAGCGGTACTTCAGGCTCGCCACGTTGGGCTTGCAGTCGTTGTCGTCTGAAACGGCGAACTTCTTCCGTAGCTTCTTAGCGCGGCAACGGCCGAGCCTCGTCAGCGCCGGAAACCACCGAGAAGGCTTCGGCTTGGCTTCGCCAACGGCTGCGAGGAGCTCCGGAGAATCGGCGCATTTGTCTTCAGCGAATGCGCGTCTTCGCGACGAGGCCTCACGCGGCGTCGCGCAAGTTTCCTCCGGCTTGGCTTCCGCTTCGTCTTCAGCTTTATTCGCGTTACTCGCGCAGCACGGCGACTCGGCGTCCTTCGCCCGAGACTTCCGACGAATCATCTCATGAGGTACAAACATCATCGGCGAGGGCTCCACGGTCGCTTTGCATGTCTTCTTCGGGCAATGCTCGCAGTAAGCCGGCGGATTCTCCGACCAGTGTTGCTGTCTCGGTGGCGGAGGGTCGAGTTTCGTCTGATCCTCGTAAGG